TCAAAGTCACATGAATAGTTTGTTATTATAGAGCTAGAACTAAACACCCGATCCTTTACTCTTTATGCCATACCATGATGGAGTCCAAACAAGTGTATTCATACACATATGCACATACATATAGAAAGGCGAGTTAGGATTGTGGTTAGAAAGTTAGAGAGCTCACCTTGAAGTCAGAAAGATTGAGGTTAAGTCTAACATATCCTGTTGAGGTGACTGGACAAATCACCTAACTTCTCAGTGCCCTAGGCAATTCCAAGACTAGGTGACAAGGCTGTTGTTAATCCATATTGGTAGAGGGAGTTTCCTACTAAGGTATTTCCCATTATCTACAAAGCCAAAGATCTAGATTTATTCTCTCTCTCTCTCTCTCTGTCTCTCTGTCTCTCTGTCTCTCTCTCTCCCTCTCTCTCTCTCTTTCTCCATTCATCTGTCCATCCATTCATCCGTCTATATCTTTCCATTCATCTATACTTTATCCATGGAATATAAAAAAGGAAAGAAAAGTGAGCATCTGCTAGGGACCTTCATAGGCAACAGGAGGCCAGCCTGAGGGAAAAAATTCAGAACCAATTCTGATGATGCTAGAAACTACTGAATACTGGTCTCAGGAGAAAAATGTTAGCTGCTGAGACATCTGGCAGAGAGTGCAGGAGACTTAGCATGTATTAATAGGAAGATCCCCAATTTCACATTCATTCATTCTACAAATATTTATGAAATGCCTTCTGTGTCCAGAGCACTGCGCTAGGACCTGTAAGAGGTACTAAGATTATATTAAGGCCTAGGCCCTGCCCTCAAAGAGCTTACAGTCTAGAAGTTCAAAATATCATATCCCCAAAGGAGAGATGACAGATGCCAATTATTAGGTGGGGGGGAGAGAGAGCTAGGTAAAATCCCCCTCCTCCTACAAGATGGAGGGATGGGGTTCAGCTCCAGAGCCAAATGAATGTAAACCGGATGCCAGGCTGGTTTAGCAGCCAGCATTTCTCATGAATGCCAAAATCCAAAGGCCTGAAATGGGAGTGGCAAAACCAAAGGCCATAGTAGAGATTTCAAGGTCCTCATAGGATTTGGGATACAGTTACTGAGAGTATCAACAAAATAGCTGTTTTTCCTGATGAGATCTTCCTCGCTGACATAAGTCTTTTTCAATCTTAGAAGGACACATTTACAACCACTGACCAAGTCTCACTGAGCAAATTTATGAGTCTAACTAATCTATCATCCCAGGAAGCAAAAAAAAAAAAAGGACATAGACCACAAAAACATCATCTCCTGGAGGGTAGGAGCCATGTTTCTTCCCATTATGTCCCTAGAACCCAGCTCAGGGTCTCACACATTGTCATTGCTTTATAAAACTTGTGAAATGAATGAATGAATAAATCAGTGTTTTTTTTTTTTAAACACAAGGTCTGTCATTTTCTACCTGTGACTTTGTTCTACTTTCTGGTCCTCCATTACATCCTTGGTAAAATAAGGGGCTTGAACCAGATGATTTTAAATGTTTTCCATCTCTAAGACCTGTGCTAGATTCCCCCTGGCTTGAAAGAGATTTAGTAAAGCAAAATAAAACAAAATGAAAAAAAAAGATTTGATAGAGTTAATAAAGGTAGGAGTATCTTGGCAGAAACACTAAATCGACAGTCAACTTTTAATTATTGGAACACTGGCTATTTGGTTTGTTTAATGTGTCTTCAGTAAGGAGGGGATTTGGGCTTTACTCCTCCAGCATTAGCTGTTCCCATCTCTCTTCTGATTGTTGCATGAGCGTGGAGGGGAAAAAAACATGTGTATAAGGACAGAGGCAGAAGCATCATAGCATCAGAGGTGACCACTGTGACTGAGAGATAGCTCCCACCACTAACAGGCTATCCTCCCTAATTTCTAGGCAAGTAGCTCTTAGATGCCATGTGATTCTGGGCAAGTGTGTTTGCCTCTCTAAGCCTGTTTTTTCATCTGTGAAAGGGGGTGAAAATGCAAGGTTACTCTTAGGAGATACTTTTATAAATTGTAAAGCACCATAGGTATGCTTGTTTTATTGAAGTCTTTTACTTTTTACACTCCAGATATTTCCCACTATATCCTCTTCTCCAACCTCACAAATTCTCCCTTGTAACAAAGAGAAGCAGTTAAAGAAAATCAAGCCATAACTGATAGCCTTTGTAATGTTCTGCACCAGTCTGTACAATTCCTCCTATGCTTCTCTGACTTCCTCATATCTAAATTATTATTCTCCCTTGCTCTGAGCCAATGCATCTGTCCTTCTGTCAATATTTAATAACCAACTTGCCCCTTTCTAGCTAACTACCTCTCTTTATCTTCAGAACCTGACTTAAGATTTCTCTTAAAGAGTTTTTTTCCAATACAATCTGATAAATATGTAGTAAATGCCTACTATGCACAATACACTATGATGAGTATTAGGTGGGCAAATGAAGTCATACTCTCTGATCTCCTTGAGCTCACAACCTGGGAAGGGAGAAGTGGAAGAGAATGTGAAATATACTCTAATAGAAAATAAAACAGGATAACTGTGTAAGTATAAGCAAAGTGTTTTGTGAAGGTTGGGTAAGGAAAGATACTTTCTTAAGGTGAGGGGAGAGAAGGGGGGGGATCAGTTAGGCTTTAGAGAAAGGGTTAAATTAGAACCATAAAATGAAAGGGTTGAAGTAAATCTGGTGATGTCTGCCATCTCAAAATCCTATGATCCTGTGAGTGAATGAATGAATGAATGAATGAACGAACTTGTAAAAATACTATACGCCCCGTGATTTTAACAAAAAATCTAGGCCCCTAAGCAAACCTGTTAAAACAGATGGTTGATAATAGCTAAAACACCTTGCCAGCTAACTACTATACCAATTCATTTACTTCATTCAGAGCCACCCTACATTGTCAGAGAAAGGGAGGAGGAAAGGAGGAAAGCAGTGGGGCCTTTTTGAAGTGGTATATGGCCTCAGGTTTAGGCTATACACAGGAGCCTTTAAACAGAAAACATGAGCTATTTCTGTAGGAATTTCATCTAGTTTGTAATATCACTATAAAAAATTCATAGCAATTAATTGAAAACCAAATGACAGAAAATGGAAGCTTAGTACAATTAGAACAAAATTATAAGAAAGGATCTCTTAGTGCTTGATATGATTTTCTTCTCATTGCCTCCCTCCTCTTCCCCGCACATTGGTTGAATTGATAGATATGCCTTAATATTTATGGGTAGGAATTACATAGCTAAACATGTTATGTTAAAAAAATAAAAAAGAACCAAGAATTTTAGTGTATTAGTAACTTGGGATGAGTCAGTCAATCAGTCAGACAACAAGTATTTACTAAGTGCTTATTATGTGCTAGGCTAAGCTCTGGAGATACAGAGAAAGTCAAAAACAGTACCCGACCTCAAGGAGCTTACATTCTAGTGGGGAAGACAAACATGAAAATGACTGAGTGCATCCAGGATATATAAAGAATAGCTTGAATGGACTCTGAGTGCGAAACATACAAAGGATTTGGAGGAAAATCTTTCTGAAGAAGGTGGGCAGTGGAGCTGAGGCCTGAGGGAAGCCAGGGATACTAAGAGGAAGAAATGAAAAGAAAGAGCATTCCAGGCACTGCTGTGCAGCTAGGAAAAGGCCCAGAGTCGGGTTATGTAATACGATGTGTAAAGAACAGCAAGTGGTCCAGTAGGGCTGGATTGTAGAGTGCAGGGAGGGCAATAAATTATAAAAATAATTTTATTATTAATCAATTAATTAATTAATTATTATAAAAATAATTATAGAAAAATAGAAAGAGGGGCAGGTTGTACAGACTGAACTCCCAGAGAACTTTATCATATGATTCTGTAGGTAATAGGGAGCCCCTGGACCTGAGTATTTGGATATACCTATGCTTTCTAGTAATGTCAGAGTCAAACAGAAATAGATCCCTGGGGCCATACATTAACTTATAAAATCACAAATTAGCATTATCTGTATTGTATTGTATTGTATTTTTATTTAGTTGTTAAACATTTCCCAATTACATTTTAATCTGGCACTCAAGCTGGATATTTGATAGCTCTTCCTTAGACAAATCACATTGGCATCTGACTCGAGTGGAACACAGCCGCTATGAATACTGACATGAACTTAGGCTCCACTAGGAGAGACATGGTATCTAGGATAGGGAGTTCCACTGTTTTCCCTGGTCAAAGCACATCTGTAGTACTGTTGCTGTCTGATATCTATATAATATGTAACCTATATATTGTGTTACATATTCTATGTGTATAGAATACACAACATATTAAGTGCTAAATTCAGGGTGCCATATTTTAGGAAGGCTGCTAATAAACTAGAACATATAGAACAGAAGGCAACCAACATGGCGGAGGAGGCAGGGTGGAGAAAAAAGACCATGCTATATAATGGTTAAAAGAATTGGGGGTCTTTAGGCTGCAGAAGACAAAACTTTGAATGGGTATGATAGCTGTCTTCAAATATCAGAAGGGTGTTTTGTGGAAGAGGGATTAGCTTTGTTCTTCTTGGCCCTTGAGAGCAGGGCCAGAACCAATGGATGAAGGTTGCCAAGAATCAGATTTAGGCTTGAAATAAGGAGGAAAAAAGACTTCCTAATAATCAGAGTTCTCCAAAAGATGAATGGACTGCTTCTAGAAGTAATGGCTTTGTGATCAATGGATCCTTTCATTGAAGCAGAATGATCATTTTCCAGGACAATTGAAGAGAAGATTCCTATTCAAATGAAGTGAAATTATGTGATTTTGTGTGCTAAAGACCAAGATTCACTAATTATATTGGGTTTTTTTATGGTTTTGGATGTTATATTGGATATTTAGACAGTATGCTCCCTGAGGGCAGGTATCATGCCCAATATCAACTTTGTATCTACCCCAGCACTAGGAACAATACTTTGCTTATCCACTGTTTTTTTGTTATTTCTCTGTTGTACTTCATTCTGAGAATCTCAAGAACTAAGTGTGGTTATCTTTCTTTTCTCAGATGGCAAAACTGACCATTGGATTGGAGAAGTGATCTGTTCAACAAACAGTGAGTCCATTTTTCTCTCAGACAAAACCTGTAGTGGTCCAATGTCTCCTATTTCTGAATTTTTCTAAGTGGCTGCCATTAGGTTTATGAAATAGAGTAAACTGCTTGTCCTTTTTTTGTTTTTCACCTCCTATGGGGTCTTAAACTTTACAAAGCAATTTCCTCATGTAAGTACTACTATGTCTGTTTCATAGATAAAGAAACCAAGGTTCAGAGGAGTCACTTGCCCAGAGTCACATGAGTCAGTAGCAGCAAGGGAAATGGAACCCCAATCTCCTGGTTGGTAATTCAATGCTCTGGGACTTAGATGCAATGGGATTCAATGCAATGGGACTTAGTATGAAGTCATTGTCTTTTACCATTTGGAAGGCAATCCTATAGAAAAAGGTTTAGATTTACCCTGCTTGGCCTCAGAGGTCAGAACTAGGAGCAATGGGTAGATGTTTCATAAAAACATATTTTGTCTTGATATAATGAAAAACTTACAAAGCATGATCTCAGTAAGTAGCAAATTCCCATTTTCTGGAAGTCTTAAGTAGAAGAGAGAGGGTCACTTGATAGAAATGTCATAGAGTGAATTCCAATGTAGCTATGGGTTTAACATGAACAAGATGATCTAAGGTCTCCTTCAATTCTGAAGTTCAATGATGATACACACACAAATATACATATGTATATATATATATATATATATATATAGAGAGAGAGAGAGAGAGAGAGAGAGAGAGAGAGAGAGAGAGAGAGAGAATTGGAAAGGACAATGAAAGGATTGGAAAGGACAATGAAGGACAATGGATATTATCTAGTCCAACACCCTTACTATGTAAATGAGGAAACTGAGGCCAAGAAAGACTAAATAACTTGCCCATCATCACACAGGTAGTTATTATAAAAAGCCTGGTTTAAACTCAAGCTGTCTGACTCAAAACCCAGTGCCACTCATAGGTTGAGAGATGGAAAGGATTGGGGCAGCTACTTGGATAGAGCACTGGCCCTGGATGTAGGAGGACCTGAGTTCAAATGCGGCCTCAGACACATAACACTTACTAGCTGTGAGACCCTGGGAAAGTCACTTAACCCCATTGCCTAGTCAAAAAAAAAAAAGAGATTGAAAGAATCTTAGAGGCATCAGATCCAGTCCCCTGATTTTACAGAAGAGGAAACAAAGGCCCAGGGTATCTTCCACAGAGTCATACAGTTAGTAAACATGTGAGGAAGGATTAGAATGTGTGTTTCCCTGACTCCAAGTCAAGCACTCTATTACATCCTATACTTCTTGTTCCATTACTCACCAGACACCCACACTCATTAACTGTTCTGTATGTGTATGTGTGTATACATATATACATCTTTAAAATATTATTACATATTAGATAATATATTAATAAGTATGTAATACAGTTTTATAGATTAATAATTATATAGCATATCAATATACTGCAGATAATATTACATGATAATAATTATATATTTTACAGATTAATTATATAGCATATTACTATGTGTTAGATAATATTATATATTAATAATTACATAGTGTATTCTCTATGCATTAATACTTAAAACATTATACATTTGGTGGTATAGATTAATAATTACATATTGATATTAATATTGCATAATTTGTTTATATATTATTAATTAGTATTAATAATCTGTAATTGATATTGATAATTGCATAATGCATTTTATATATTATTGTATAATACATTATATATCCACATGCATTGTATTAATAATCACATATTAACCTATACACATCAATAATTATATAGTATACTATATGATAGTTGATATTGTATATTAATAATTATATAATATGGAACCTATATATTATATATTCTATGTGTATAGTATATATGCCATTTATGTGTATATATATTTATACATATACATATACATGTAGTACAGTAGCATATACTGTGTTAACCAAGATAAAGATGGTTCTTGAATATAGACTGACTATATCTAAAATGAGGTTTCTTTTTTGGGGGGGGAGATAAATAAATATATATATAAGCTCACTGAAAAAGGTGACTATACAAAATTATCATTTAAAATATACTCAGAGGATTATAAAACCTAAAACTGGGAGGTACCTTAGAGATCATCTGGTCTAATCTCTCATTTTTAGAAATGAAGTCACCAAGGTGACACATGAGAATATCAGAGTCAGAATTTGAACCCAGATCTTTTGATTTTAAATTCGTTGCATTTTTATTATAGTTATTTTTAAAATTTCTTTCAGGTCAAACCAATTTCCATTTTTTTTATCATCACTGGTCTCTTCATTTTCATCAATTTCATTTTCATTCATTGTGTACTAAGATCACATATATACCATACAGACCTGGAGGGGAAAGTGTGGCCTGTATTCAGGCCAAAACTTTGGTTTGTGTGTCCACGTACAAACATGTGTATACTAGTCCCTGTGAGGTCCTTCATATATAGGAGCGAAGAAAATGGTATTTAAGGGCATAATTCTCCATATGGACTCAAAAGAGCTTTAATCAACATCATTGAACTATGCAGGTGCAATGGCAGGCCCCCACCCTTTCATCTTAGCTTGTATTCCAAGAGTTCTTCCTTGCCCTTCTCATTGTTAGTAGATGAAAGCTGCCACTATTCATCCTGGTCTTGAAAGGCTCCTCCGCTGGTCTCCCTCTGTCCCTTTCTCGGTTCCTCTCAACAGTTCTCAGGGCCTTGATCTGATCTCCTGCCTTGGCCTCAAACCCTTTCAAGAGTCACAAACTCTAGTTTCAGGTGGTCCCCAAACCAGACAATCCTGTTTCTTGCATTATCCCAGCAGGTAACATGAGGAAGGATCTTTGTTTGAATGAAATTCTGAGGAAACTAATACTTGGCTGGTTGCTTTCTGTAAGGGTCAGTGAGAGCTCCAAGGGTCCGGATGGAGACTCTGTGTGTGTGTGTGTGTGTGTGTGTGTGTGTGTGTGTTTGTGTAGGGGGGGCGGGGTGAGGTGTTCACGTGAGCTTCTTAAATTCTCAACATTCAGGATCAGCTCTTCAAAATGTTTGACACTGATGGAGGCGTACCTCTGGTGAAAGCTAATTCTTACAGTAAATGGCATGCCATCCTTTGGGGCTCCTGGGGAGGTTAGGTTCCCAGGGCTATTATCTTTCAGGGAGGGAAGACAATTGTTGTGAGTGATTTAAGCAACAAAGTTATCAGTCCACATTACAAGAATATACATGTAAACAAGTCACAGCTAAATGCTTATATAAGGCAGCTAGATAGCATGGTGGATGGAGTCCTAGACTTGGAATCAGAGAAACCTGAGTTCATATCCTGCCTCCAACACTTATTAGCCATATGACCCTGGACAAGGAACTTTGCCTCTTAGCCTCAGTTTCCTCTTCCGCTCACAGTTTTGATATTTTGCTCTGTGGAATTCTTCAGTGGTGGGTAAGTGGTATAGGGGCAGAAAAGATGCTCTCTTAGGTACTTTCAAACTCTAAAGAATCACATGATTCTAGATTTCTATTATCCTCATTTCACAGATGGGAAAATCAAGACAGAAGGAGGGTGGGGTAGATTGAATATTGACAATGTAGCAGTCCAAGTTTTCAGTGTAGCCTCCAAGAGTCACCTAGTTCCTACCCCCTAGGGGGATTATCAGTCCTTTCTGCCTCAGGGCCTTCCATATTGCTAGGCATAGCATTTTTCAAACATCCATGATATATTTCCTCTATGTCTATACAACTTAGACTACTGAGGATTGCAGTTGCTGTGGCATAAAAAATTTTGTTTCCTAGTGGCCAGCTCTTTCTTGATGAGCCATTTTGTGTTTAAACAGTATAATCCTTAAAAGAAAGACATCCAATGACCTTATTTGTGATCCCCAGCTTGGTAGAATATTTCAAACCAATTGACACAGCCCCTGAAATCCAAGGTCACCTCCATAACCACAATGGGGCATGTAATAAGGATGGAGGAGAGGATTTAGTAAAAGTTTTACATCCAGTAGGTGCTTAATAAATGAAGGAAGGGAGGGAAAGAAAAAAAGAGGAGGAAGGATGGAAGAAGAGTGTCTCAATTGGTGATGAGGAAATTTAGAAATGTACCTGGCCTCAATGTTATGCTAATAAAATTAATCTGAACAGAAGTACTTGTAAAAGATTGGCTTTACCACTCTAACTGCTTTCTTTTTCCCAATGGCCAACTCATAGAGCATAATTCATTTCCTCTTATGATATGAGAAATTATTCAGGAAATTCAATGGTCATTTCTCATCAGTTTCCTTACAGTAAGCTAGAACATTAAACTATATTTCATCATAATAATGTTGTTCACTTGTTTTAGTCACATCCAACTCTTTGTGACCAGTCACCTTTTGGGTTTTCCTTGCAAAGATAGTGGAGTAGTTTTCCATTTCCTTCTCCAGCTCATTTTACAGATGAGAAAACTGAGGCAAACAGGGTTAAGGTGCTTGCCCAGGGTCACACAACTAATAAGTGTCTGAGGCCAGATTTAATCTCAGTAAGATGAGACTTCCTGACTCCAGGTCCAGCGCTCTATCCACAGTGCCACCTAACTGCCCCATTATGATAATAGCTAGCATTTCTATATACGATACTCTAAGGTTTACAAAACACTTTCCCTATGTTATCTTATTTGATCGTCACAACAACCCTGGGAGATAGGTATTGTTATCATAACCATTTTATATATGTGGAAACTGAGTCAGAAAGAAGTTAAATGACTTGCCAAGGTTCACATAGTTAGTATATATCTGCAGTAAGATTCACATTCACTTCTTTCTGACTGTGGGTCCAACATTGCTTCCTCAGCCTTTACCTATAGGAGAATTGCCTGCCTAATCTTGAGTGGGAATGGAGCAGTGGAAGGTCTTAGATGACAGTGAAAAAATTAATTTCTCATTGTCTTCCTTTAAGACCTCATTGACCAATTACTTGTTTCATCATATGGAGCTTAATCTTATGCAAGACAATGAAACAACACGTGATTTTCATCATGGTAG